AAATTTGTTTGATGATCTGAAACATTTAAGTGTGACAAACATGCAAAAAAATAAGAAATCAGGAAGGGGGCAAACACTTTTTCACACAACTGGATATGATAGTGTTGCCCATATGTTGCTGTTTAATCCGGTATATGAAATGTATACATGCACAATATTCGCTCTCAATATGAGCATTTTTGGACGATATTTGCTACCCCCCCCAATGCTGCGTTCACACCAAACGCGGCGCAAATTATTCGCGCGAGTAGATTACATACAAAGTCTATGCACAGACGCGATGAGACTGGCGCGGCGCGAATTTGCGATGGACGCAAATTTGTGCGCGAGTTGAAATTTTTCAACTTCTGCGAAATATTCGCGTTACGCCCCGGCGCGATAGCCTATCAGCGTTGAGTTGCTTCCCTTGTCATCACTGACATCCTGCCGTTGTTGAATCAGGAAATAAATACTGTAGCCATCTATGTTCACCCAGAGCTCTACGATACCTCATATCAATAGAGACCGGACCAAACGATGTGTATAAATGTGTGTGTGTACACACACATGAATAGATGAACAATGAATAGACGCTGCCGTATTTACGTCTACATGACGTTAGTCTGAGCTGCTACAATGTTAGTTTAGCCTAGCACCGATCCATCCGCTCCATTGAGAAGACAAGTAGCCTACAAATCGGCATCATTACGTAGTTATTTCGGAGTCCCTTTTTGTTGGTTTATTGACGTTAAATCACAGCCAAATCAGTTTATTTTGTGTTAATACAGCTGTAGTAAACAGCGACAGCGACGTGTGGCTTGCACAATGTGGCTTGTGGCAGTGTGGCTTGCACAGTGAATACAGCTCGATAAAATCCACGGAGCTCCTCTGGACAATATTATGAACCCAGACATGACGCGTTTAGTTTCCCGGGATATCTGTGACTTCCACAACACGTACTAAGCAGAAATATAGGTTATTTTTTCCATGGTTAATGTCGGACAGTTGAACGGGTTTCAGGGCGATAAGCCCCGCCCCCTCTCCGGCGCGATTCGCGCAAATGTACACAAATGGTCCCCGGCGAGACCGGCGGCGCGATGGACGCGAATTTGCGTTTGGTGTGAACACGGCATAAGCCCGAGAGCCCCCAAATTTGGGGCCGTCGTGTACAAGAGGACCCTTTAAGATCAGTATAATATCTATAATAGCTTTATGTCTGCACAGGAGTAAAGAATGTTGGACTGACCTCAGAGTCTCCAGTCTGCAGTCTGGACTCTCCAGAAGGTCACACAGCAGCTTCACTCCTGAATCCTTCAGGTTGTTTCCACTCAGGTCCAGCTCTCTCAGAGGTGACGGGTTGGACTTCAGAGCTGAGACCAGAGAAGAGCAGCTGACCTCTGACAACCAGCAGTTACTCAGTCTGAATGAAGGATAAATAATGCAGATAAAAATCAGGTCATGGACAACGCGAGTCTGTGGACATTCACTGCCTCTACTTGTTGTTTTGTTTAGACATTTGGACCAACAGACACATTTCTTTGTGCTCAGACAAATCCTGAAAATCTATGAACCAAAAATGTGAAACCCACAGACTGTATATAAGACGTGGACATAGTCGTCGTGATCTCACCCATTGGTTGGTGGACTGATGTTTTGAAGATTCAATTTCAGTATTTTGGCCATCTTGGATTTTGTCCGTTCCCATTTTGTTTTCATGCTACCAGTGAACAGGAAGTGACCATATTTGGACTGAGGAGGAGTGACGTAGAGACGCCGTATACGTCTCTGGTAGAGACCTGTCAATCACTGTGTAGCCCCGCCCTAAAGCACACCCTGCTTTATGGTCTATTTGACTCTAAATGGACCATAATGTACTAAATGAACATCATGCTGTATTGAAGAAGAGTTGAAACTAGAGATTGAGACCATAAACTCATGTTTACAATGTTTACTGAGGTAATAAATCAAGAGAGAAGTAGAGTCATTTTCTCATAGACTTCTATACAACCAGAGGAGTCGCCCCCTGGTGGACAGTAGAGAGAATGCAGCTTCAAGACACTTCAGCTTTGGCTTCACTTTTCGGAACTGGAGGTTGCTACTTGGGGAAACCTCAGTCAAGGATTTGTAGATATACAAAAACAACGAGACCATGTACAGTCAGTGAACTGACCTCAGAGTCTCCAGCCTACAGTGTGGACTCTCCAGTCCAGCAGACAGCAGCTCCACTCCTGAAGCCGGCAGGCTGATGTTTTGACTCAGGTCCAACTCTCTCAGATGTGACGGGTTGGACTTCAGAGCTGAGGCAATGACTTCACAGTGAGTCTCCGAAAGTTCACAGTCACGAAGTCTGTCATGGCACAAATATTTGTCAGATGTAACGATGAAAGCGGACACTTTATATTTACTTCATGCATTTGATGACAATGACAAAAGAAATTCTCGTATTCGAGTTGAAATATGACCGATATATACTGATATTAACTAATTACAAGAAATGGAGGAAAAAAGTTGTCTAGTTATCACCAAGAGCTCTACATTACCACAAAGCAGACAAAAATGTGTATAGATATGTGTATAATCCACAGACTATAGTTGCTGCTATCGTGTTAGCATAGCCTAGCACGAATCGAACTGAACTTCGCTCAGAAAACACGCATTTATAAAGTTTTTTTTTTAAGTTTTTCTGTCATAATGCTGCCAGACCTAACAAGGCATGAATTCAGACTTTTTACAAATCAACATCATTATGTTGTTATTTCGGCATTGTTGTTATCTGGTTATTGCAATAAAATTGCAGCAAAATCTGTTTATTTTGGGTTCATACAGCTGTAGTAAACCAGGCAACATGTGGCTTGCTAGATACAGTGAATATGTCCACCGAGCACCGCCGGATGATGTTATGAACACAACTGCGTTTGGTTTCCCACCGTATCTGGGACAAGGGGTCTAGATCAGCACTGACTAAATTTGTAAAAAAGCTTAGTAATAGTGTCATAGATTTATTTTTGGTTCAGAGGGTATGATTTAAAAATGGTGTCATATTTAATCTCATTATTATGTACCCAAGATCTTCCTCATTGCCAGTTTTTTGGTTAATTTTGTAAAAAAGAAGTAAACAAGTGAAAATGAAACACCAAAGTACGGTTTACATTTTGTATTATCTTGTCATTTGCAATTGCCTTCATCTTTTCAAGTGTTGATTGTAAAAATAAATGTTATTTTTTAGTAAAATGCATTGGTGTGATAGTTTGTATATTTGAAGATTTAAACTACTTATCTAAACTGATTTATTAAGTTAATCACATCTGGACTTACACAGCTTTCCTGCAGTTCCTCACAGCTGGAATGAGTCTCCGTCGCCCCTCATCTGAGGTCTTGAACTTCTTCAGGTCAAACTCATCCAGAACCTCCTCTGACATCTGCAGCATGTAGGCCAGAGCTGAGCAGTGGATCTCTGAGAGTTCCTTCTCCGATCGGTTGTCCGACTTCAGGAACTCTTGGATCTCCTGATGCACCGAGTGGTCGTTCATCTCCGTCAGACAGTGGAAGATGTTGATGCTTCTGTCAGGAGAGATTTGATAACTGTTCATCTCCTTCAGGTTGTTGATGGCTCTCTGCATGATTTTTGGACTGTTGTCCGTCCGACCCAGCAGGCCTCCTAAGAGTCTCTGGTTGGACTCCAGAGAGAGGCCATAAAGGAAGCGGACAAACAGGTCCAGGTGGCCATTTTTACTTTTGAGGGATTTCTTAATGGCTCTCCCCAGGAAGTCCTCCAGGGTTGGGTAATCATCCCTCTCCATGAAGTCCTTCAGTACCTCTGTCTTCTTGTTTGTGAAACAGTGGAACATGTAGACTGCAGCCAGAAACTCTTGAACACTCAGATGAACAAAGCAGTAGACTGTTTTCTGAAAGATCACACTCTCTCTTTTGAAGATCTCAGTACAAACTCCTGAGAACACCGAGGCCTCCGTGACATCAAGACCACACTGCTCCAGGTCTTCTTGGTAGAACATGATGTTTCCTTTCTCCAGATGTTCAAACGCCAGCCTCCCCAGCTTCAGAAGAACTTCCTTGTCAGCCTCTGTCAGCTCCTGAGGACTCGTCTCATGTCCCTCGTGGTACTTCTGCTTCTTCCTCTTTGTCTGGACCATCAGGAAGTGTGAATACATGTCAGTCAGGGTCTTGGGCAGTGCTCCTCTCTGGTCTGTAGTCCACATGTGGTCCAGAACTGTAGCAGTG